TCACGGTGGTCTTTAGTTACAGGTTTTACTGTAGTACCAGGCTGGTCGCTAGTCACGGTGGTCTTTAGTTACAGGTTTTACTGTAGTACCAGGATGGTTGCTAGTCACGGTGGTCTTTAGTTACAGGTTTTACTGTAGTACCAGGCTGGTTGCTAGTCACGGTGGTCTTTAGTTACAGGTTTTACTGTAGTACCAGGATGGTTGCTAGTCACGGTGGTCTTTAGTTACAGGTTTTACTGTAGTACCAGGCTGGTTGCTAGTCACGGTGGTCTTTAGTTACAGGTTTTACTGTAGTACCAGGCTGGTCGCTAGTCACGGTGGTCTTTAGTTACAGGTTTTACTGTAGTACCAGGCTGGTCGCTAGTCACGGTGGTCTTTAGTTACAGGTTTTACTGTAGTATCAGGCTGGTCGCTAGTCACGGTGGTCTTTAGTTACAGGTGTTACTGTAGTACCAGGCTGGTCGCTAGTCACGGTGGTCTTTAGTTACAGGTTTTACTGTAGTACCAGGCTGGTCGCTAGTCACGGTGGTCTTTAGTTACAGGTTTTACTGTAGTACCAGGCTGGTCGCTAGTCACGGTGGTCTTAAGTTACAGGTTTTACTGTAGTACCAGGCTGGTCGCTAGTCACGGTGGTCTTTAGTTACAGGTTTTACTGTAGTACCAGGCTGGTCGCTAGTCACGGTGGTCTTAAGTTACAGGTTTTACTGTAGTACCAGGCTGGTCGCTAGTCACGGTGGTCTTTAGTTACAGGTTTTACTGTAGTACCAGGCTGGTCGCTAGTCACGGTGGTCTTAAGTTACAGGTTTTACTGTAGTACCAGGCTGGTCGCTAGTCACGGTGGTCTTTAGTTACAGGTTTTACTGTAGTACCAGGCTGGTCGCTAGTCACGGTGGTCTTAAGTTACAGGTTTTACTGTAGTACCAGGCTGGTCGCTAGTCACGGTGGTCTTAAGTTACAGGTTTTACTGTAGTACCAGGCTGGTCGCTAGTCACGGTGGTCTTTAGTTACAGGTTTTACTGTAGTAGCAGGCTGGTCGCTAGTCACGGTGGTCTTTAGTTACAGGTTTTACTGTAGTACCAGGATGGTCGCTAGTCACGGTGGTCTTTAGTTACAGGTTTTACTGTAGTACCAGGCTGGTCGCTAGTCACGGTGGTCTTTAGTTACAGGTTTTACTGTAGTACCAGGATGGTTGCTAGTCACGGTGGTCTTTAGTTACAGGTTTTACTGTAGTACCAGGATGGTTGCTAGTCACGGTGGTCTTTAGTTACAGGTTTTACTGTAGTACCAGGATGGTTGCTAGTCACGTTGGTCTTTAGTTACAGGTTTTACTGTAGTACCAGGATGGTTGCTAGTCACGGTGGTCTTTAGTTACAGGTTTTACTGTAGTACCAGGCTGGTCGCTAGTCACGGTGGTCTTTAGTTACAGGTTTTACTGTAGTACCAGGATGGTCGCTAGTCACGGTGGTCTTTAGTTACAGGTTTTACTGTAGTACCAGGCTGGTCGCTAGTCACGGTGGTCTTTAGTTACAGGTTTTACTGTAGTACCAGGATGGTTGCTAGTCACGGTGGTCTTAAGTTACAGGTTTTACTGTAGTACCAGGATGGTTGCTAGTCACGGTGGTCTTTAGTTACAGGTTTTACTGTAGTACCAGGATGGTTGCTAGTCACGGTGGTCTTTAGTTACAGGTTTTACTGTAGTACCAGGATGGTTGCTAGTCACGGTGGTCTTTAGTTACAGGTTTTACTGTAGTACCAGGATGGTTGCTAGTCACGGTGGTCTTTAGTTACAGGTTTTACTGTAGTACCAGGCTGGTCGCTAGTCACGGTGGTCTTTAGTTACAGGTTTTACTGTAGTACCAGGATGGTCGCTAGTCACGGTGGTCTTTAGTTACAGGTTTTACTGTAGTACCAGGCTGGTCGCTAGTCACGGTGGTCTTTAGTTACAGGTTTTACTGTAGTACCAGGATGGTTGCTAGTCACGGTGGTCTTAAGTTACAGGTTTTACTGTAGTACCAGGATGGTTGCTAGTCACGGTGGTCTTTAGTTACAGGTTTTACTGTAGTACCAGGATGGTCGCTAGTCACGGTGGTCTTTAGTTACAGGTTTTACTGTAGTACCAGGCTGGTCGCTAGTCACGGTGGTCTTTAGTTACAGGTTTTACTGTAGTACCAGGATGGTTGCTAGTCACGGTGGTCTTAAGTTACAGGTTTTACTGTAGTACCAGGATGGTTGCTAGTCACGGTGGTCTTTGGTTACAGGTTTTACTGTAGTACCAGGATGGTCGCTAGTCACGGTGGTCTTTAGTTACAGGTTTTACTGTAGTACCAGGATGGTTGCTAGTCAAAGTGGTCTTTAGTTACAGGTTTTACTGTAGTACCAGGCTGGACGCTAGTCACGGTGGTCTTCAGTTACAGGTTTTACTGTAGTACCAGGATGGTCGCTAGTCACGGTGGTCTTTAGTTACAGGTTTTACTGTAGTACCAGGCTGGTCGCTAGTCACGGTGGTCTTTAGTTACAGGTTTTACTGTAGTACCAGGATGGTTGCTAGTCACGGTGGTCTTAAGTTACAGGTTTTACTGTAGTACCAGGATGGTTGCTAGTCACGGTGGTCTTTGGTTACAGGTTTTACTGTAGTACCAGGATGGTCGCTAGTCACGGTGGTCTTTAGTTACAGGTTTTACTGTAGTACCAGGCTGGTCGCTAGTCACGGTGGTCTTTAGTTACAGGTTTTACTGTAGTACCAGGATGGTTGCTAGTCACGGTGGTCTTAAGTTACAGGTTTTACTGTAGTACCAGGATGGTTGCTAGTCACGGTGGTCTTTAGTTACAGGTTTTACTGTAGTACCAGGATGGTTGCTAGTCACGGTGGTCTTTAGTTACAGGTTTTACTGTAGTACCAGGATGGTTGCTAGTCACGGTGGTCTTTGGTTACAGGTTTTACTGTAGTACCAGGATGGTCGCTAGTCACGGTGGTCTTTAGTTACAGGTTTTACTGTAGTACCAGGATGGTTGCTAGTCACGGTGGTCTTTAGTTACAGGTTTTACTGTAGTACCAGGATGGTCGCTAGTCACGGTGGTCTTAAGTTACAGGTTTTACTGTAGTACCAGGATGGTTGCTAGTCACGGTGGTCTTTGGTTACAGGTTTTACTGTAGTACCAGGCTGGTTGCTAGTCACGGTGGTCTTTAGTTACAGGTTTTACTGTAGTACCAGGATGGTCGCTAGTCACGGTGGTCTTAAGTTACAGGTTTTACTGTAGTACCAGGATGGTTGCTAGTCACGGTGGTCTTTAGTTACAGGTTTTACTGTAGTACCAGGCTGGTCGCTAGTCACGGTGGTCTTTAGTTACAGGTTTTACTGTAGTACCAGGATGGTTGCTAGTCACGGTGGTCTTAAGTTACAGGTTTTACTGTAGTACCAGGATGGTTGCTAGTCACGGTGGTCTTTGGTTACAGGTTTTACTGTAGTACCAGGATGGTCGCTAGTCACGGTGGTCTTTAGTTACAGGTTTTACTGTAGTACCAGGCTGGTCGCTAGTCACGGTGGTCTTTAGTTACAGGTTTTACTGTAGTACCAGGATGGTTGCTAGTCACGGTGGTCTTAAGTTACAGGTTTTACTGTAGTACCAGGATGGTTGCTAGTCACGGTGGTCTTTGGTTACAGGTTTTACTGTAGTACCAGGATGGTTGCTAGTCACGGTGGTCTTTGGTTACAGGTTTTACTGTAGTACCAGGCTGGTCGCTAGTCACGGTGGTCTTTGGTTACAGGTTTTACTGTAGTACCAGGCTGGTTGCTAGTCACGGTGGTCTTTAGTTACAGGTTTTACTGTAGTACCAGGATGGTCGCTAGTCACGGTGGTCTTTGGTTACAGGTTTTACTGTAGTACCAGGATGGTTGCTAGTCAAAGTGGTCTTTAGTTACAGGTTTTACTGTACTGTAAAGTTAGAAACTTTCGCAAGTGATTGAATTTCGCTACTTTCGCGGCCATTGCGCATTCTGGAGAAGAAAAATCGCCACAAACTGCTCAGTACGTGCATTGCAGACAGCACAACTACAAGATTCAAAAGAGGTAAAAATCGGAAAAAATTCTCATCACAAACCAGCCGCATTCATGAAAACGCAAAATTTGTGCGCCACAAAGGTTTATTGCAATACTGTATTCAAAAATTCCACTATTTTCTTGCCTATGCCGGTTCGTGCGCGAGCCCGCGCGTGCGACGAGAATGTTAGAGAATGTTCGTTCGTTCGTTCGTTCGTTAACATCAAGAACGTTCGAATACTCAAATTTTGTGTTCGTTTCAGCCCTAGTCCTAACACATTTGATTGCGACAGATAATCATTATGTAATGTCACCCCCCCCCCCCCCCCACACACACACACACCCTTCGCTATCATATTATTTTGCAATGATCCCGTTTGACTTTGCGAAGTAAAATACGATGGGTGACTGACCCGAAACGTCAATAATTTTTTCAACATCATTAATAAAAGAATTTTCATCTAAAGAGTGAATAGCAACTAAATAGAGCGGTTGTCGGTTGACAAACCTCCTTTTATTTACAATGCAGTTGCGTGATGTCCACCACTTTCTGAGCGAAGTAAAATAAAGAATACAACACATAGCCTCTCGGGCATGGCTGTGCAGGGTGTCTAACACTGCATTCTGAATCTGAGTGTACTCACAGTCAGTTGTGATTGACAACACCAATCCGCTTATACTGCTTTAACCTATCTATGAGACAGATATTGTTATGATAAATCTGCAACGGACTTTCAAGAAAGCATGTACAGCTTCGACTGGCTTCTCTGTGACACACTGCACAGAGGCTGTGGTGAATGCTGAATAACTTCACACGACGACAAGTCCATTTCTCCGGCTTCCGAGCGACAGTTTGTCAGCCTGGATATCTGGCACATTGTCCTCCAATCCCCCAGCGTGCACTATATGTCTCTAGTTTGTGTGTGAGTGTATTTGACTGGTATGTTTGTTGCCACTTACAGATCATTGCGCAACAACAATATCACAACAATTGCAAACTCGTTCTTCAACCACTTCAAGCTCCTGTAAGAATTTGCTTGGAACAATAGAAGTTTGAAGCCAACCATCTCGAAGTGAACTGTAAAGAAAAGAAAGGGCCAGCATGCTCTAAGTTTTGACTAATAGTCCACCACAGTATTCATAGTTACTTAACAGGCAGATGGTGCGACAAAAAGGCACGAAAACGACAGGGTGCTGCGACATACTTCGTAAATGTGTCGGAGCCAGGTGTCAGGTCGTTGAATGTCCTAGTAGCCCCGTCAGTTGCGTGCTTTGTTGTCGCACTATCTGACAGTATATTGATACCTTGGTGGACTGCTAGTCATAGCTCATAACAAATTGGTCCCTTCTCTTATTGATGAATAATACTATCACTGGGCCGGCAGAAACAGCTTTTGACTGGTCCGACCACACCCTACAGCATTGCAGTCTGTAATGCTTTTTGTGTACGATACGGAATGTGTACACATGACTTCTCGGCAGTACACACATATTGATGGTCTAAAGGCACGATTCAGGTTGTGCGTGCTTCCCCTAGCTGCATCTCATGTTTGGCATTTAAGGGGCCGTCCAAGGTTACCAATAATATTTTCAAAACGAAATGTGTTCGTTTGGGGGTGGGTGGGTTTAATGGAGTTTCGTTTTGAAAATAGTTATTGAATGCAGATGGAGAATGTCCAGTTACTTCTGGGTGTCGAAAATTGACATCAATATTTTATTGGAAGTCGTTTTACCTGCAGAAAAGATGGGTTGGTGGGTGGGGGCTGAAAAAATACTAAGGGCATGTTCGATTGGTAAGGATCGGGATCGGGATCCAGATTTCAGATCCCTCGGATCCTTCAGATTCAACTGAACACTTTATTTTGGACCTTGACTGTTGCCATGTTGAAAATGGCGCTCACAAGGCACCCAAAAGGGTGAACGTCGTACTCATCCCGTGCGTCGTACAAAAAGTCAACAAGCTCTATCTCCATCCACGCGTGCGTACTACAATGTGTACAAAAATGATTTTTACCAGCCATATACGCACAAAGGTCACATTTGGATCCGTTGGATCCGGTCAACCCTGCTCCCCGAGGAGGGTTGACCGGATCCAAATCCGAAGGATCCGGATCCGGATCCGACCAATCGAAAGGGTGCGAATCCAGTGGATCCGGTGGATCGGGATCCCGATCCTACCAATCGAACATGCCCTTAGACACCCAGTACATCGGCATTATTACGCAGTGTTATGCCATAAAAAAAAAAAAAAAAAAAAATACCAGGAGGCTCTTAGTAGTGGCTGCAAATGACCGATATCCGTCACTTGCAGCTCTGCATCAGAGACCTGTAGCTGGCCTGAAGAGTTGTAAAATTACTCCTTCGTAGCCGGGCGAGTCAGAGCGAGGGCGATTCACGGCTTGGTCAAAAAACTGTCGGCCTGGAACGTAAACGTGGATCTGCCGACACAGTTCACCTGGTTCACACGCCTGACCTGGCATGCTGCCTTGCGTGAAAGGAACATTTTTCCGAAAGCAAGCTTCTTCTCCAAAATTCGAAATTTCCTTCCAAAAATGCCGTCGTCCTTGACCTCGAAGCTGAATGTTGTTAGGATAGAAAATTAGCGAAGATGTAGCCGACCCATTCTGGCAAGCCGTGTGCCCTCTGGATATGCAGTTGTTCGCCATGGTCAACAATCTTCTTCTCCTTCGTTCGTACTTTCACTTTCCTGACCACGAATACAAGCGGTACCCATGCTCAGGTTAGTGTTTATTTGTCTGTCTATGCACATACATGTATTACAATGTACTGTTCGTGCTGTAGGCACTGGCCGATCATGGAAATAGAGGAAGCAGCCAGCTTTCTTTGAATTCTCGTGCTTTCAACAAAAATATGTACACACTTTCCTTGGCTCCTCTTTCCCACCGCCACCATGCATGCACAATCGAGCTTGCTTTAATGCCCTGCAGTGCAGAATGCTTCCACCACCGCAACTACCACCGCCGCCACCACTACCAGCAGCAGCACCACCACCACCACCACCACCACCACCACCACCACCACCACCACCACCACCACCACCACCACCACCACCACCACCACCACCACCACTGTGACCACCACCACCACCACCACTGTGACCACCACCACCACCACACCACCACCACCACCACCACACCACCACCACCACCACCACCACCACACCACCACCACCACACCACCACCACCACACCACCACCACTACCATCACCGTGACCATCAGTCCATCACTATAGAAGCATTGTCGTGCAGAGCACGTCTGCAAGAGAAAATAATAGTACGCCAGTGCTGTAATGCCCTGCAGTGCAGTGTGCTCCCGCCACCACCACCACCACCACCACCACTAACGTTATGGAAGCATTGTCACGCACTGTACATCGATCCACAAGAGAAAATATGCCAGTGACTTACTAGCAGTAGCACCTCCATGCTGCATGCGGACCTGGACACAGCACTGTTCCCTCTCCAGGAAAGGGGGCGGGGTGTATTTCATTGTCCCTGCTTGAAGTAATAATGACTACATGACAAGATGTCCAGCTAACTTTGCCAGTAACGAACGACCCTTGATCGGGCATGAGAAAAGTGTTGCTATTTGGGAGTTGGCGTCATTCACGGGGTTGAAAATATACGGCTATATTGTTACTAGGTCTGAAGATAGTCTCACTATCCGTGGGTTGTTATACCCGTGGTTGACTGAAGATACGTTTGGATTATTCTATGAGTATGTGAAGGGTATACGTTAAATATTTTCCCGAGGATATAGCACGAGGAAATTATGGGGAATGCAGTACATGTATAGAATGGTGCAATCCATTTCTCCCAGGGCACTTTCCCAAGACTCCTTCCAATATTCACTCTTGGCGCGACCCATGTGAACTGAGCGGGGTGTATCGTTGAATATACCCCTCTCAGAACGTCTACTGATTGGCTGAAATCGCCCAAATCATACCGTGCCATGGATCAATGCATGTCAGGGAGTCGTAGCACCCAAGGAAACAACACGAGATCATGATACCCAAAATGATGTACTGTAAAAGCGGAAATTTTCAGTGGTGTTTTATTTTCGGTAACTTCGGTGCCGACAATTTTTACCGAAAAAATGCACCGAAATTTTTCGGTACTACTTAGTAGTGCTAGCACCCTTACCTGGAAAGCGGGTATTACCGAAAATTTCCCTCCACCGAACCACCGATTTTGGAGAATTCCGAAAATATTACACCATCAAAAATGTCTGCTTTTACAGTACACAGATTGGATCCATGGAGATTCTACATGATCCGTGGTTTATGCAACTCGTGATCGCGGACTTGACCCACTGGCCCCAAGCATGGGTCAGTCAAGCGATGCTATATGCGAGCATGTATGTATCGCACTTGCCCCTAAGGCAGTAAGGGCAACTGTCACTGGCAGCCCGGGGTTGAAACCACATTATTAATTTTTGAAATTTTCTAGGGTGACACGAAAAGCTTCACGCACTGGGTGGTCACTCTCTATTCATGTATACCACTCTGCCAATAGTGCATAGAGCTCTCTTTTGAGCTGCCCAGCTGGCCCTCGTTATGATTTAGGCTGAAAGTCTACCGTGCCGTCTCCCTTATTATTATTTATGCTACGACTCCATAATGCATAATTATTATCAAGAGTACATTACCCCCCAGAGTGTGCAACGCCGATCCAGCTCTGCATAGGGTCTTGGTCGAGCGGAATCGGATCTTCTGATGTCATGCGTACACTCCACACCAGCTCAAGGCCGGTCTCGAGGCAGGGCACCATTGTTTTTGATCCAAGAGTACCCGCGACTCCCCGGGTTCCCCTCAGATGTGTACGGTATTATGACGCAAAGATCCGATTCCGCTCGACCAAGACCCTATACCTGTATACAGAGCTGGATCAGGCGTTGCACACTCTGGGGGGTTATGTACTCTTGATATTATGTACAGAAGAAAAAAATCCCGGGGCTCCGTTGATGAAATTCTGTTTTGTCAAGTGGGCATTTTTGATTATTGTGAATGGCGTGTAGTGCCATAGTACAGTTCCTTTTGCTACGTAACGTTTGCACAAGTCACGTTTCAGCAATTGAACTAGGAAGATCTATGTCTCTGATCTTGTCATTTGGCCCGGCTGGTACTGTGCATTAACAACCATTGTCAGGCACCCTCGAAAGACCAACAGCGATGAGTTCATGACCCAAGCATTATTTGGGCCGTTAAGTTGACTAAACGGGAGTGTAGCAAGCTTTGATCGGCGTACTTCCTTCCGTACGTAGTGAAATGTTGTCCGAGCTGAATAGATTCTATCTCCTGCGGTTTAGTACAATAGTTCCACACCTAATACTGTAGATTCGACGTCTCCAAGAAAAATCTCCATGGAGACTGGAAACTATAGCAGATCATAAATGAAGCAGCAGCTCAGCTGATTCCCTAGCTCGTGTCTAGGTGCATGTACTTTGGTCAACGTGTTGTGGCAGACTCCATGTGCAAAGCTGCATACTCTTGGGGTTATTGATTCTTGCTTATAATTCATGCATAGATATGAACATCATAATAATTGAGTGTTGGCAAGACCCAACAAGGTGTCCCTTAGATCAGATCTTCACAAAATGCACATACTGTAAGACATGTATATATAACGAGGAAGCAAATCTAACGTTTTAACGGATGACATTTCTTCGTTATAATAGATCCATTGAGGCCGTACTGCTTCATATATGCTGTGTGTGTATATGCCAGAATACTGCAAGATTGTTAACATATCTTCTCGTTAACCTATGAATTTTGGACAATCGTTAAATGTGCGACTCGTTATAATAACATGTCTTACAGTACATCTTGAAAAGCCGTATTTTGGTTTCACATACACGTCTCATTTCTATCACAGAGATCAGCAGCCATGGGCCATTGGTGGCAATACTGGTAGGAGTCGCCCGAGGCTTAGCCAATAATTTCCGTTCTATACCCAATATACATACCCGAACTGGGCACAAATCTATCCCATTCCTTGGTGCTGACCCC